GCTTTCGGGATGCTGAGGGTCTCTGAGGCCTGCGTGGAAAGCTTTGGGAGCTAGAGAGTCAGAGGCGTGCGGGAGGCAATTCTCAGTGTCAAAGCAGAGCACCTTACAAGAGGAAAGGGACTAGTGTTAAAACAGGTTAGAAACGGGTTTATTTTCACTCCTGAATCTAGCTTTTTTTAGAGTTAACTTAAAAGCACATCAACAGTATGCTTCCAGGGCTTCCTTTACTAAGCGATACCGACTCCTGCAGCAGCAGTAGTTAGAATCTAGTTTCTTCATTAGAAATATGTATTAATATGAACTCTGAGTTCTAAATAGTGACTATACCAGCCTCTAAGATTATTTAGTGTCTTTGGTTTCTTCTTTTGGACAGCCTAAATATATGCTAGCTTTTCTCTCAAAAATAACAATGCATTTAAAACAGCTGACTAAGAGTATGTTACCTTATGTGGAGACTAAAGTTAAACAACATTTGTGACCTGGCTTAGAGAAACACAGGGTTCAGATCAGTTTGTCAAAGGATGTTTGAAACCTTAAATTGTCCGTAGTATCAATTGAACAAGGACACAAACAGAGTCTTCAATTTTGCTTGTGTTTTGCAGTGACAGAGAAAATAAGAGTGCTAACCTTGTACAGTTCTATGCAGTTTAATTAGTTTGAGGAGAATTAAAAAATTATGAAGGAAGGTTTGCAGAAGAAAAACTTGATGGGGATCTGGTTTTGTAAAGCTTGCAAAATTCATGCTTATAATTTCCATGAAGAGCATGTAAAGTTTGACCAATTCATTTTCATTTAGTAGAATGATGCCGTCTACTTAATTTTCACTAAACCGATGTTGTTAAGGAACAAATTATTAAACTGAGATTCCAACCAGAAGTCAATATTGGACTGTCACTGGCAGAAACCATTTTGCCACAGGCTCAGTGCTTGTAGATCTAGGAGTGGATGTTGACTTAATAATTGGCAGGTGTATATGATCATGTCAAGGAAATGAGTACATTTTGATGTCTAGAGTTCAGCGATGGTTTTTTAAACTTGTGTGCTTCAGCTCTTAAGCATCAACTTCTCTTCGGGGAGGTGGATGCAGTTGCTAATTGTTTCCCGAAAGTGAAATTGAACACCTCCAAATCAATATAAACCATTTTCTGGAAAAATGATATCCTGTCCAAATAGGTAAGACTTGTATTGACTATTCAGGCTCTCAGTTGTTCCTCTCTGCAGTAGTTTGTAGATCCTACCAAGCTAGAAGGAACAGAGTAGATGCTATCGAGAGCTAAGTTTTTTTACAATGTGGAAAATGAGTGGGTTACTGTGGTGAATGACTTCACGGACCCCAATATTGTGCTCGATCAGAATCATTTTATTGCTCAAGTGAATACCTTACATACTAATGCAATAGTTACTAGAGCCAATCAGCTTTGGATTTGTGGCTTTGGGAATGCCAGTTGACAGTTGCTGTTTTCCAGGATCTTTTGCAGCTGGATGTATGAAAACAGCTTATCTCCTGAGAACAGAGAAGGGAGGTGCAGGACGTGCTGATCTTTCAGGGTCATGAGACAGTGCTGTTGTGTCTCAAATTACATGATTTCCCACAGGTTACCACTGACCATGAAGTCAAAGTAGAAGCATAACACCTTAACTATTAACATTAGTGAATTTCAAATAGTATAGCAGTTTGGCTTTTATCCTGCCCTCTGGATCCAAGAAGCATTAGAAGACTTATTGCTTTTATTTTGCAGTCTTTATAAGATTTGACTAAAGTCTTTAAATAATTTTGTGTATGAGGTTTTTGATGATGTATGTTTTTTGGTGCTAGTGGCATTGTTTATTTCAAGCACTTCTGCTGCCGTCATCCTTCTGCTTTTTTCCCTAATCACATGCTCCTCTCTATTTTCCTGGAGAATCCCTAACTCCTGCAATAAATATATCTGCTTTATAAAACCTCACAGCCAGCCACATCCAAATATGCTTACATTTATTGTGTTGTTGATCTCATCTCTGCATTACCACTGTTAGCCTCAAATAGCTACTGTTTCTTTGAGTATGCTTCCATTTAACCTTTAAGGTTCCTTCTGCCTCTGTGTTACTGCCACAGCACTCCTTTAGAGTGCTCAGACTGCTGCTGTAGGATCCCTCACCTGATGTTTTGTACAGAAGCAAAATACTCAAACTTGAGCAGCACTTGTTACCGGTGCCAACAGAACAAGTCCTGTAAATATAACTTGAAGAAATGAGCTTGTAAGTCTTTAAAGTGATAGAAATGTTAATTCTTCAAAATAATACAGGAAACACAAGAGTTTAAGCTTGACGAAACTTCAGAAAATTATGGTCAAGGTAACCTTTTTTCTTCTCCATTAGGATCTCATGAGAAGCAGCCTGAAGTGTACCTACAGCCACTACTTTATCATAGAAGAAAGCTAGTCTTTGTTTGATAATTAGGAATTCCAAAATTAGTAAGAGGTTGCTTTTCTTCATTCTGTATTTTACCTTCTTTCACCCTGGTTCCCCTAATGCTAAATATTTTTTGCTTTTTTTTTGTCGTACCCACTTCTGGGAACTAGGGTGGAAAACAAATGCAACTAGTGAATGGACAGAGGTTGAAAAACAAGCTTTGGCTGTATTTGAAATTTTTTTCATAAAGTCTTTCCTCTGACAGAACTAAGGTGTGATAAATAAATAACACTGAACAGAACAGTTCTCTATTCTCAGTTTTTTTAGCTGGAGCTGGGACAAACTGTCAAAGTCATTCTTCTAGGCCAAAAGGACCCTATGTATTTTCTTTTTTTGATTCTGTGTCTGTCACTGACTTGGCAAGGAATTTACAGCAAAGTTCACACCTCTGATATCAAAGGCATGTAGCTATAAGCATATAGCTGTAAATTCTTTCTGTCTCTTAATTTATGACTTGTTGACTGGGTTAGGCAGGAGCAGAAACAAATGGTATCTCTTATTTGCTGTAGAAAAGGTTAGATGGTACTATAATTGTTCTGGGCAGCACATGTTTATCTCCGTTTCAGCTGTAAACTGTTGTACTTTTTTAGGGATTCTTTAAAAGGGAAGCTGCAATTGTCCAACCCACTTCGTCTGTGATACACCTACTAAAACAAAGGACAAAACCCAATTTTGAGCCTAGAAATCTCTTAAAATGCTCTGCTATTTTGCTGCCAGAGAAAAGCACTATTAAAACAGTACTTCCTTAGCAGTTTGATTCTAGAGGGCAGAAAAGACTATTGCTTGATTTTTCTTAGATGAGAAAACTGAATTAAACTGTTATATTCTTCTGTTCACAGAGATTTGAACCCTTATGTTTTCAGGGCAGGAGAATCTTGACATGGGGAAAACCACCCTGAGGCTTCTCTGCACTTCACTTTCTCTTACCATGATTTGCTGGCTAGCTGAAGGTACCCTGTCAAAAACAGATGCAAAGAAAGGTGCTACAAAAAAACTGGAAGAAAAGGTAAAAGAAAACTGAAAAACTTATCTGACATGTGCAGTGAACTAGTTGAACTTCGGTAAAGGGACTCTTATTCTGTCAAATCAGTGTTAAAAGCAACCATGCATTTTCGTTGAAGTTATGCTCATGAATAAGACTACCTGAAATTGTCCTCTCCTTCAGCTTTTTGATTGTCATAAATGGTTCACTCCTTTAACGAGTATGATGTAGACTTCTGGAGCTTTATCCCCCAGGCAAGCTGAAGAAGCAGGAAGTTTTTGTCCCCTCTTGCACAGCTAAAGGAGACATACTTCTGTCCCTTTGGAAAGGAGAGGTGGGGAGTAGTAGTTTTGGCCAGTAGCGCTAGGTCACTTACTGGTGGAAGTGAAGGTGTTCTCAGCCTTGGCAATGGGAAGGCTGTATCCTGATAGAAGAGTCTGAAGAGACTTCTAACCAGCAGTTTCTCTGCAGGCAGAAATGATTCAGAGTCCCATAGCAATCTGAGCAAGTGGACCCCATATGCTGAAATCTCTCTTAACTTGCTGAGCATGTTCTTGTTTCCTGCCTGTTTCCTTTCAAAATTGCAAGAAGGCACAGCAAGAGAAAGGGTGTGTATGGAGAAGAAGTATATTTACCAGTGCCTATACCAAGTATATGTACTTAGTGTTGCTAAGCACGTTATGTATAAAAAGTAGACACGTTCAAAATCCTCTCCTTAAATTGTAGATATGGTTGATCCTTTATTATACAGATACATCTCTCATTGTTTGTATTGCTTGTTTGCTCAACATCTACCTGGAAGAAAATGTAGTCTGCAAGTAGTGAGGATAATACAAAGCGTTAAGACTGGCCTTATCCCTCAAGTCCTTATGCTGAATCAATAGATGGTTTCTGTGTACTCACCGTGCACACTTTATTAGGTCTTCTCACTCTGTTTCTGCCTGCTAAAACTATTTGTGCTGTTTTAGTTGAAGCAGATCTTCCTTAGAGAAAGGTGTTCAGAACCTTGGCCTTGAGTAACCACAATGCAGCATACTCGGTCTCAAATATATCCAGTTTAAAAGTTGTCTTCAAGTTCTTGGTGAAGAACTAACCCTTTTTTTATCGTTTTGGGGGTAACATGCCAGAAAGCATTGACTAGAGAGCACAGGACAATCAGCTGTGGTGAATGATGCTCTTTAATCTTATCACTTCTGGATTTTTTTTTAGTTTATGTGCTTTTTGCCTTGCAAACAAAGTAAGTTTACTGATGGTGACATCATTTCTGAGCACTTTCCTGTTTCAGTTTTAAATCAAATTGATCTGCATCATTTAAAAGGAGTGCTTGCGTTTAATGATGTGATTTGTTTAATTTCTGATTTTTTTTTTTCTTTTTGAAGTTTATTGCTTTTTAGTAGTTGTGGATCCAAAGGCAAAGGATATTATACTGGAACACAGAAGTTACTGCTCCAAGAAGATGAAGGAAAGACATTTCTCAGGAGATGTTCTGGGCTATATTACTCCCGTAAGTTAAGAAAATTAACAAACTTAGTGCTTTGAAAGGATATGCAGCAGACTCTGCTAATCTACAATCTTGCATCCCTGTTTTAAGAGCATTTTTATAATAATAGGAACTTCTGGTCAAATACGTAGAGTCAAATAGCCAGAGGATTATTTGAGAACTGGCTTGGGATTTGGATATCTCTTGTTCTCCCTCCATGTTTTGGAGGATGTCTAGGTCATACTGCTTTTCTTCTCGCTGGCAAAACAGAGATGATAGTATTTTCTTGTACTTGATGAGCCATGTGAATATGCAGTAAAGTCAGACTATGAGGGCTACTAAGTGTCCTCATACTGTACTGCTACCAACTTGAACCTTCTAAATAAACAGTAAAAATTTTATGCTGCTGTCAAACTGATCTCTTTTGTTATCCAGTCTTACCATATTCAAGTCATGTTTTCTTGAATAATAAATGTTTCTTCCTTTTGTTTAGAGGATGCTTTTTACTTGTTTCAGTCTTGTACTGCTCAAAAGAGAAATAGGTGCCCTAGAAATTTTCACCTTTCTTAAGGCCTCTTGAACATAAATACAGAGTCTGTAAATTCAAAACTGTGTTGGAATCTACTTGCACATTCCTGTAGTTCAGATGAATTTGCACAATTTGAAGATTGCCTTTCATGTAGCTATCAGTTTCTAAAGTGCGTACTTTAATATAAATAAAACTAATGTCCCAGAAGGTTTCCTTAAACTAACAAATGGGGACCTAGCAAATGATTACATTTGTGTTAAAGAATTTGTCTTGGTCGAAAGTAAGTGAACTGTATGTTTTGCTTTTGAGTCTCTCACTTTTTTTTTTTCTTCTTCTTTTTGCAAGTGGAACAGCCATGGCTATGACATTGCTAAAATATTTGGAAACAAATTTACACTAATCTCACCAGTCTGGTTACAAGTAAAAAGGAGCGGGAAGGAAAGGTTCCAGTTCACTGGGCTCCATGATGCTGATAAAGGTTTTACTTTCTTTTTTTTTGGGTATGCATTGCAAATAAGATTACTGGTCTTGTTGCAGATTGGGTAGCTTTGGCAATACATGCATGTGGGTTTTTCTGGGTCTGCCTCATGGTGAAGTACTTTCATCTGTTGCATTTTTGTGGGATTTGTCTTCAGAGCAAATGCCTTTTTGTCCCCACCTGCTTCCACATGTGCACATAGTTTATCTGTTGAAAGAATGAGTACAAAGATGATTGGCTCTTCCACCAGGCTGTCTACAAGGCCCCTCTTAAAAAAAAAACAAAAAAACAACAACAACAAAACCAACAAAAAAAACCACGAAGAAAGGGACAAAGACTTTGTACAGGCAGAAATAATCTTTGGTGTTTGTACTGTGCAGTTGTTCACCTGTTGTGTTGTTTTTCCTCTGCAAAAACCTTTGGGTGAATTTGTTTTGGAAATGGAAGATAAATTTACTTTGAAGAGAATTTTCTCCTTCATTGTCAGGAAGCTGGCAACACTTTTGGATTTCAACTAGTACATTCTTAAATAACTAAGTAGTTTATGGCTTTGAACTTGATTGAAACATTTGTCTGTGGAATCTCATTTGAAACAGCTGTAATTCTTACTATGTTGGTTCCTACTGACAAATTCATTCTAGTGCAGTGACTGCAAAGAGGAGTGGATGGGATGCTTAAAAGTACTGTCTTAAAAAAATAATTAAAAATACTTCTCCCAGGTGATGCTTAGTGACTACAGAAGTGTTGTTCTGAGTAGGCAGTAAGATAGTTACCATGATGAGGCAGAACTATAAGCAGCAGGGAGGGCTGTGTAGGGACTATTGTAAGATTGTAGTAAATGCTATTTATACTGTGGTGGAGGTGAATAGCTTCAAATTCTATGCATCAGAGGATGTTTCATCTGTGTCTGTTAAGAGCTTGTAGTCTGCGGCAGCAAGACAGATATAATGAAACTGCTACCTTATTTGAAGAATGCTTGAAAATACATTGTTGTCCACATCATTTGTATTTAAATAGTTGTTCTGTTACTTGATATTTTGACAGGCTGGATGAAAGATGTCAGAAAAACTTCCAAAAACATCAAAATAGGTGAGCCTCAGTTTTATGTTTGTTTAGTTTTTATCTTCTTTAACTTCTAGCAGAGCAAAAGAAGGCTTTGTTCCAGGTGTATATGGGAGAAAGGGAGGTTACCTTAGCATAGCTGTGTGTAGGAAGAAGTCCGAGAAGAAAAATAAAAGCAGTTAACTATAGATAAGTAACTGAATTGTTGATCCTGTTAGTGTCCTAATGTTTTGCCTTCTTGTCTCTGGAGAAACCCTGAGTCATAGGGTCTCTCTCTGGAGGAGTACTTTGTGTATAGCACTATCTGCTTGCCTGGGGGCGTGGTCTTCAAACTTGTTGCTCAGGGTTCCAGTTAAAAAGAAAAAAAAAAAAAAAGAATCGAAATCTGAATCAGTCAGACTTTCCTGCATGATTGTATAAAAGTCCTACTCTGGCTCGTCTCCCCTTGAAGCTGGCAACTCAAGGGGTGTGCTACAGTGTGTATCTTTAGTGAAAATAGCGCACATTGCTATAGAGATAATACTGTGCTAGATATCTTACATATGTCTACAGCAAGAGTTCTGCAGAACTGAAAACGCTTCTTGATTCAGAAGGGAGTATGAAACTTGAAATGCATTAGAAAAACGGAATGCTCAGTCAGATATTTTAAATTACTTCAGCTGCCAGATGATAAAGCCCTTGAAATCTCTCTAGACTCTTCCAAAATACTCTTTTACATCATTGTTATTTAGAAAGGACTGAGATATAGCTCTGTATGAGTTGTTGGCTTTTCCGGCGTGGATGATTATCAACTGTTCCAACAGCAGTCTTCCTGACTCTTGCCTGACTAAGTTTTTAATATTCGAAGTGTGTTAGAAATTATGTGAGCTCATGAGCCCACGTTTTCCAAAACAAAGATTTGTTGTAGGATCTAGAGATGAGTAGAACAGTGAAGTAATACAGGGCTGTGTACAAGAGTAAATTAGAGTTTGAGGTGAACTTTTCTATCTTGTTCTTGTGGTAGAAGGGATGCACAACTTAGAGAATGATAGGTCTTTCATGTTGGAGTTCTTTTAAGACTCTATTTAGGGCCCTAAGTGATAGTTCATTTAAGATAGTTCAATCAAGTGAAGCTATCTTTTCTTAAAACTTGCATCAGTGATGAACTTTAACTAAACGTAAAATGAAGAAGTATGTTCTACAGTGTCAATTTATCTGTATTGCTAAAATTGGGCAGAGTAAAAGAGCACTGATCTCAGCCATGGGTTATATTGTTTGGTGGCATCTCTGCTTGTATTTGCTGTATTCTGTTTCTACAGAAATATTCTGATGTAGATAATGAATTCTTAATTTTCACTACTGACTGACAAATTTTCTTGATAGTGCCTCGAGTTTTGTTTGAAGGCTGGACTTATCAGGACTTTGAGAGTGTGTTTGGCAGTGAGGATGAGATAGAGGAGCTTTCCAAGAACATGGTTCTGCTAGCCAAGGTAAAAAGAGTTTTTGCTAATGCTGATAAAATAGTGCAAGATGATGCTTGATTCCTTTTGTAATGGGTATTTTCTAATTTCCAGTAGCTTTATATCCTACAAAATAAAATTCTGCTCAAAACAATAATGAGGCAGGACTCTTAAGAGTGTGTCCTAGTATGTGTCCAATTCCTGTAAATATGAAGTACAGCAGCAGTTAAATGTGGTTAACTACAAGTCTAAAGTGAGACTAGGCAAGTCTGATCAACATAACCTTGTTAAGTTATTGTTGGCAGCTGCACTGGTGACTTTTGCCTGCTATAAATCCTGATTTATAAAACTTGTTCCAAACAGCTGACAGGCTGAATGTTACTGAGGCAACCTGATAAACTTCTGGAGATTGCCTAGTGAGCAGACTGCTTTCTTTTTAATTTCTATTAAAAGCAGAAATCTGTTAAGCATGGGCTAAACTGGTTAGTGACCTTTTTTGATAGGCAAAAGAAGGGTCATGAGTGCAATGAGTGCTGTTTTCTATGTTACAGGAGTACATTCAGGTTCATTGTGCTAGAGCTGATGAGCCACTTCTAATACTAAGTATAACTCACTGCATATCTGTTACTACAGTTTTGCTCAGGTCTGATAAACCAGTTTCCTTAAAATGTTAAGAGGCTGGGGAGAGAAGAGGATTTCCTTGAAAGAATAGTTACTGTTTGCTGAGGTTTTCTGGGCAGCCCCTTAACTTAATTTCTTAATGGCTTTAGACCTATGCATGTGTGGGACTAGACAAGTTACACTCGAAAGACATTCAGCTTTAGTGGTTGGTTCGTGACATCCTGCTTAATTACTGTCAGAATAAGTTTTACTTGCTACACAATGTAAACAAATCTTAATGTGCTCTAGAAGAAGATGAATGTAGAGGTAAACTGAATAGTTTCTTAAGATTTGTAATGGTTACATCAATTTTAGTTGCTCAGTAACAGTTGGCCTCTGAAGAAAAGGGTATTCAAGTCCAACAGTATCCTTGGTCATGCTAAATATAAGTTATCACAAGTGAGATTAATTGTGGGAGATGTTTGGAATCATGCCTATGCCAAGTTAGTATTTACATCTTAAGACTCCAGAGCTCATGAGGTTTTTTTTCCCCAATATACATGTACATGTGTGTCAAATGATTTGCTTAAAAGTCATCTTTCATTTATGGTGGAATTTTCCCAATGAGATACTGGTTTATCCTGTAAGAGTAGAAGTCATGGATAACGAATAGAGATTTTCCATTTTTGCATGATTGTTAAATAATTTATGCTTCTCTAACTTCTTCATGAAATGCTGCATTAAAGATGAAGCTGATATAAGACTACAAAGCATGTTCAATCTGTAATAGTACAAGAAAACCTACAACAATTGTGTGCTTAGATACTGTACTATCATCTCTGATACAAGCCTAATGAATAAGCATGGTGATTAACTGTATATTGTTGTTGATTCCCTTTATGTAGAATGAAAATTTTGATGGTTTTGTACTTGAAGTTTGGAGTCAGCTGGGAAATCGAAAGCATACGTAAGTATAAGTCTCTAGGATGCAATTCCTAAAAATCATCTCTTTTAAATCATCTTTTTAATTTCTCCATGTTGGTTTAAATTTGTCATTATAAATAAATGTCCTTTGTTCTAGGACAACTTAAGATTATTCCACTTGTCTTAGAATGAAGTAGAAGAGTCTACTCCACTCTACATGAGCTCAAAGATTACATAATAATCTTCATGGTGAACCTAGCAGACTACGTTAGCCTTTCATACTGGAGTTCTGCAAGATGTTACCATTGTGCAAGGGTGAAGAGGGTACCTCAATTGCATGCTTACTCAGATGTTGGCCCGGGCCTTTATTATAACATTGATTAGTTTGGGTTACTGGGTTATGGTTGGAATCACGGGATGCTTTCAAGACCAACAAATTTTAGTTCATTAGGAAACCTTCCAAACCTTCATATAGAGATCTTTTAGACATACTGAAACCAAAACCAAAATCCTCAACCTGAGGCAAATCTAGGGAGAAACTGGCTTCCAGTTCTTGCAAGCACAGTATATTTTAAACTTTGGAGTAGTTGATCTGCCTTTTGGTAACTCTGCTATGAGGTTTCAGTGAGTCTGAATTTATTGTAGCTGCTAAAACTGAAGGGCTTATCCGTATTAAGCTGTTTCCTGACACGTTCTAATCAGATTTCCTTGAGCAAAAGCCCCTTGGCTGTCTTAACATCTTGGACAGAGTCAAGGTAAAGCAAGCTCCAAACTGCTGCTTCAGGAGGAAGAGGCAGAACAGGTGGGGAAGCAAATGATTCAATGCAGCAATCTGAAGATTTTGTGCTAGTTCCCTCAGGAAATTCTGGCATCTGTTCCCTAAAGTGCAGTATTCCTACGAGCTCTGTATTGCCTAAAATGTCTGAGGGAAAACAGCTTAAAAGAAAGCTCCACAGAATGCAGACTTCATTATGGAAGACTTTCACCTTTCAACAATGGTTACTTCAGTTTATTCTGTTTAGGGCAAATGTTGTTGACTGATGGTGTATAGTAGTTATTTCTGGAACTGAATGTGCTATTAAAGGAGTCCTACCTTTTCCTTATAAAATCAACACTTGGGAACAAAGAATTGAAACTGCAGAACCTTTGTAGCCTTGTCAGGGGCTGCACAGTTTGCACTGGAATGAGTATTTCTTAAGCTAGATGCTCTTGCTCACAATTAGGTAATTTGCCAGGTTGTTCAAAAGACTTAATCTCTATACTGAACCCTGAGCCTATTGCAGTGTCTTAAGACAGCCACCAAGGTGGTTTAAACAATTAGTAGCTGCCAGACAGAAGTTGGGTGTAGTGGTCCATTTATCTACTGTGCTTACTGTATTTCAGTGAAATTGATGCTTTTCATATTAGTTAACTTACACGAATGTAAGACAGAATGTATTACTGTAATTTTAAGATTCACTGAAGACCAATGTAAGCACACGAGCATCAAAGTACTGTATTGCAAATGAGACACATGAACAAAGCATACTTTTTTTATTAGCTCATGGGTGAGTTTAACTGTGGCATGACGCTTTGCCAGGAGTAATGCTGCTTCAAAATAGCATTGCTTGTCCCATGTTGTGTGACATGAACTGTTTGTACTAAAGGAGGTGCTGCTGTGTAGTTGCTCTAGCCTTTGATACCAGAGTGTTATTTAGGTGAAGTATGGAAGTACCACTTACGTATTTACTGTCTGTTACTGATAGACAGGAGTGGGAAGTATTTTCCCTAACTTCAGAGAAGGAAAGGGTTATTCTCATAGAGTAGAATGGTAACTGGCTCCTTTGTCCTGAATCAGTAATGTTGGATTATATGTGGCCACCTGTGAACAAGACTTTAGGATTGTCCTAACTAAAAATGTGAAAGATTGTTTGCCAGAAAAATGTGAATAGAAACAGAAGTTATGACCTGCAGATTTTCTTCCTCTTCAAGACCGGTTTTAAGTGCTTCATTGTAAACTCATTCATGTTTTTTTCCCTCCCTTTATTGCGTGTGTCCCCCCTGAAATGGTTAGAGCGTTTAAGTTGCAAAATACCTTGAGCTTACCCGCTTAGAGACAAGCGTTTTGAATAAGGCTAATCTAGGCAGCAAGCTGAAGCTGGGCTTGTGTGTGGAGTAGCAACTGTTTTGTGAACGTAGAAGCGCATCATTAAGTTAAAATTTTGTCTCACGATGCTTGTAAATTATGGGACCGGTATCTTCATTTTAAGATTGTCAGTTTGTCTATCACTTGCTCTAAAACCTGATGGCTTGGGTATCCAGTACTACAGGGGTTTTCCCTATCAGTGTTTTTTGGGGTGAACGGGTGCTTTGAGCAGATCTTAAGGGGCAGAATTAAGTGAACTTAGCGCCTTTGCAAGCCTGTATTTTTATTGCACATTGAGTGTTGTTACTTTGGGATCTGTTAATTTCATTTTCAATAGCAGAGCAGAGTTATTCCTGATGAATGGGTAAGCATGGATGGTTTTCACCTTCACTTGTCTTTGCTAGAAAGGAATTGGAGCAGCCCATGGCCTCTGTAGCCCACAGAGCGGCAGTATTGTAACATGGTTCGTATCTGATCTTCCTTGTCAGATAGTGTTTTTCGAATGTGGCAAACACCAGTAGTAAAGCATGGTCATAACCTTAGAAAGCTGGGAGTCAGTTGATGGGTAGATGTCAACACAGAGATGACCCCTAATCCTTCAGAGATGTGAAGCATTCACAGAACAGCAATTGTGTATGCTCCATGTTAGGTACAGTAGGCTTTCCTGATTTGGATCCTTCAAGGTCAAACACATGAAAGTAGCTTAACCTAGTTCCAGGTAAAGGAACAGAAGATCATAATGATGCTCCTAGGAACAGATGGTCTGCCTTCTGATCACTCAGAGCTGTTTGACAATGAGACCTGTGTAGCTAATAAAATTTTTTCCTATTAATTAATGTGAACATGTTTTAATTTAAAAGAAAATAAAAAATCAGATTTTTTTTTTCTGAAATGCAAGGAATACGCTCACGTAAGCAGTTAGCAGCAGGTTATTGAAGCTTAACAGAGGTGCCTAAAAGAATCGGGGAATATACTGCAGTTGCCAGCTTGCCTTATGAAATGACAGAGTGGTGGTCTTGATCTAAGTAAAAAAGTATTTCACTTATAGAATCCTTATGGTTTTAATTTTTCAAAACCTGAAGTGGATACCTAGTTATTAATAATAAAATGGCATTTAATTATTCTAGTGCATACTTTTGTGTATTTGTGTTGAGGGGAAGCCTGTGGAAATGATTCCTGTTATATTTTTCATGGTGTTATGGTGATCCCATCCAGTGCACTACCTTAATGGTGCAGGAGCACTTAATGTAGCACAGGTTTCTTTATCAGACTTAAAATGACTAGAAGGTGGGATTTGCTTATGGAACAGTTGTGCTTGATACAGTATTTCAGCTATGAAATCAACATCCACTAAGGACAATGGACAAGAGAGAGTTTTTAGCAGAATGCACCAATATTTCTCGAGGTAGGTGAGTCTGCAAAAGAATCTGAAAACTTACAAATTAGTGTCCTAACTCACTAATAAATTGGGTTATGATTTAAATACTGCTTCATATATCAGAAAGCTTTCACTGCAGCTGAAGCTCTCTTAATAGGCCTCAGCTGAGCAAGTGTCCCTGTGAGAGATCTTTTTTCAATAGCTGAACATGAATTTTAGTTGGATTAAAGAGGCATGATGACATCTTCATAACACATACTCTCCCTATTGTCTTGATGTTGGGGCTTGAAACACTGAATTACCGAAAGACCTTGTGACAATTAGATTTTGCAAGTATCTCCATGTAACAGGGTATCCTGGCTTTGGTTAAAACAGAATTGATTCTGTTGTAGTGAATCTTCCTTACAGCTAAGTTCTTCTAAGTAACTGCATTTTTCTGAATTTGGCTTCGTATTTTACAGACAGTGTCCACTCCAAAGCCGATAACACCTAATGTTTACAGTTACTGAGCTAACGGTAGGAAAGGAATGCAGAAAAAGGCCCTTGTTTATAATTATTACTATAGCAGCCAAGGTCACCGGTAGATCTCTGAGGTCCTGCAAGTGAGGAATCATAAAGGGTCACACTTGCAGGGAAGGGTGGACAGAACAGGTGACCTGATATTGACCAACTATGTATTAGCCAAGGGAACAGTGTGAGCTCTGCAAAGCTTCTGTAACCCATAAATCCTGTGACCAGCTTTTTAACAACCTGTGAGCACTGAGCATTTTTTTAAATGAGGCAAATTTAAATACTTCTCTGTCAGCTCTTTGCATGTTTCTAGAAAATTTTGGTTTTTTGGGTACTCGCATCAACATTAGAAACTTCCTGCGAGGCCTGAGAAGTTATCTAAAAAGAGCCTTCAGTTTCCTGTTTATCCTAGCTAGCATTACAGATGAGGTGAAATCTTGCTAAGAAGTTATGTTGCTGGCATCCACTAAGACATGAAATTCTGTGGTTTCAGGCTTGCCATGTATCTTCTGATTTACATATTCTTAAGCAGAACTAACAATCTAGTTTTGTTTATTTTCTAGAACAAATTTTCTAATCATTCTGGTTTGGGGTTAGAATTGTGCTGTAATGCTCAGCAGACTAAAGTCTGAAATTATATCAATCTGTTGTGCTGCTTTCTTTTGCTTATTCATTTAAATCTTGATTTTACCAACAGTATAAATTTTATATAAGAGAATTATGTGTGTAAATATATCAGCCTGCTTTCTTGTTAGATATCCTAAGCAACCTGGTCTCTGGCTGTTCCTGTAGGGTCCTAGATACCTTGGGGCTTACACAGCAATCCTGTATGCATGCTTTGTATATCTTTGGATGTATAAAATAGCATTAGGTTTGTATATTTAGACGCCAAAATACCACCTGTTGTATCTGAAGAACCTGAATTGTCTTGGTACATGTGTGTGGACCTAAGTTTTAGGGGGTTAATACTGACCAGTTCAGGCTCCTGTAGACGCCTAATATGGAGACTTCGAAGTACCCTCTATAGTACAGGTACCTACTTCTTTCCTGTGATTTCTGGGAATAGAATTACTGATACACAAGTCACAGTGCAGTCAAATTTAATGTGAGATGAAAGACTGCATCTAATTGATGCTGCTTCCTCATGCTGACAGTCATTGCATAGTGAAAAAGTATTCAGCTTCCCATCTTTTATTCCAACACATAGGAAATTAGTCTCCTAACAAAAATCTAAATCAGCCAAGATATCCTATGCAGATGATACCTCAATCCTAATGTCTTTTACTGCTTCTTATAGTTTAAACCTGCTTCTTGAATAACTGTATTTTAGATAAAACTTTCTTGACAGGTTTTCCAATGAAATATTCCAAGTTATTAATCTTGTGGCATTTAAGTTTAGGAATTGTACATGGCAGAAATATTGGGATAACTGAGCAAGCAAAGTTTCTTCTGCTTATGTAATTAACAGCTGGACAGGACGATATATCTCTTGCTATTCTCACTTGTGGGTTTATTGGGTGTTTTTTTTCTCCAGAGACCTGGATCATGTTGTGAAAAAGTCTTGAATGTACCCATCAGGATCTCACAGCATACATAAAAGTGCATGCATTATTCTGATCGGTCTGGAATTAGCTGACAGATGGCACTGCCTTCACGTAGACTCAATCTGAAAAAGATGATTTTTTTTTTTTTTTTTTTCCCCCCCGTGTGCTGCAGGCACTTAGTATCATGCAGAAGATGACCTTCAGACATCTTATTAATGTTGGTAGGAACACAGGAGCAAAAAGCACTTCTGGCAATTCTGTCCTTCATGTTAGTCCCTAAAAAATTAATCTGTTAATCAAAGATTTGCCATAATTCACTCCAGTTTCTTGATATTAACTATGCAATGAAATGGCACAAAAGGGCAATTTCTTCTTGAAGTAGACAGCTTTATTCTGTCCAATTTTCTTGACAAGGCATAAATTTTAGGGAGTACTGACTACCAACTTCTGCAAAAAAGTGGCTGAAGGGAAGGGTACAACAGCCTTATGTGTTTATTGCAAGGCTTTTCAAATACACCTACAGCCCATTCTTGTGCACTGAATTAAACTGTACTACAGGGTGTCCCAAACACTGTAGACCAGCAATGCTGTAAAAAGGGAGTTGTGAGAAAATAAGCTTCCCTCAAACTTTGGGTGATCTGGAGGTCTGCATGCCTTATAGGGGACAAGATACTTTGAAATAATGAATGCTTGGAAAATTCACTTACCAAACTGTTAGTGATAGTAGAAGGCTTGAAATCGCAGGAATGAAGTAGAACTTGATTAGCTCAATATAGAGTCTTAAAGCTGCCAGTGTTTTAGTAGCTACTCTGAAGTTAAATTTTACAATGGTGAAGTTTCTGGTAAATATTTAATGAAGCCTTTTCAGGAAGACTGAGCCTATTCCTACTTTCCTGCACCTTATTATAATGCTAAAAATGTCAGTAGCTTTTCTTTCAAAATTACCAATGGTAATGTGGGAGAGTATTGTATTTAAAACACTGTAAAGCACTGTTGGAGCACAGTAGAGTTTTAATTTATAGCACAGAATAAATGAGCATTCTGCTATTGCTGTTTGGGGGAGAGGGGAAAAGTGCACATTTGATTTACATAATCTGTCTTGGCTGACGAATGGAACTGAGCCTAAAATAAGTCTTTAACCGTTAATCCTCTCTGATTTGCTAGGCAGTTTTCAGGGCCCCAAGACCTGTCTTGACAGGTTTGTGAGTAGAAGTTAATCTGGATTTCTTGAGCAAGAATTTGCAGTTGTCCAGCTGCCCCTTTTCTCCCTGATGTCCTCAGCTGAAGCTAAATCTGGGAGAAGAAGTGGCTGTTTAATGGAGGCTGTTTTGAGTTAGTCCTGTTTGCTAGCTACAAAGTAACACCAGCAATCCAGACTGCACTCCTGTCCCTTTATCAGGCCACAAACCTCTTGTCCTTCGTTGAGGGTTGTAGGTTGTGGTTCTGCGCTGTATGCCTTTCAAGTTTTAAAATATGACTGCTTTTGTGCAATCACTTTTTTTGTGGGTGCGTCGCTGCTTTTGTGGATACGTTTTTACCTCTGCTGGCTAACCACCGGTGTCTGACATTGCTGAGGAAGGGGGAAACCTTGAATTGATTATTCATTTGAACCAGATCCAGTGAAGAGAAAAATTCAGAATAATCCCAACTGCTTTTTTCTTATGCTTCAAAGCATTGCTATCTGGATAGCAAAATTTTAGGATTTGAGGCAGGTATGTGAAGGTGTAGAGTGGGAGCGAGGGTTTTAGCCTTGTTTCTCAATGAAAAAGGTGTTACCTTGCTCTGCACCTATGTTAGGTTCTTTTGTCCTATGCTGCCCCTCCTTCTGTCCCCTCACCTTCTAAATAATTAAATTTAAAGTCAACAAATGTTTTGAATGGTGTAGAGGTCTCAGAGTTCCTACAGCTAACAAAGGCAGCCAAGCAGAGAAGAGAGATCCATGCTGATGAACGGTGTAGAATAATCTCAATGCCACAGGAATTGATTCTTTGGTCAACTTTATCTGATGTGTAGGATCTCTGATGTCTGCTAAAGGGTGCACTCATACTGCAGTTTGGGCATAATTAGTTAAAAAGGTCACTTAGCCAAGAGACACAAATCAGTGGGAAAGAAGGCTTCGGTAGTTTTAATACCAATTATAGTTTGGTTTTTTTTTTGTAAGACTGTCATGTGGGTGCCATGATGTGTATGTTGGAGTCAATAACTGTATGTTTAGTTTAGTGTTGTGATGTTTTAATACATTCCTATGGAAGAGGATTCTTCTTTGCTATAATTGATTTGTCTGAATACTGACACTCTTAATGTGAAATGCATATAATAAGGAAATGGGAGGGAAAGCTGTTACTTTCCCAGAGCAAGAGTAGTAGAAGTACATGCTGCAGACTGACTGAAAGCTGATTCCTGTAATCTCATGTCTTGGCCCAGAAGAGAAATATATGGTGGCAGTGTGACAGTTCATTGTCAAGTGCTGTTCAGCATAGCCAGCTCTCAAATTGTAAGCACAAAATGTTGATGGTATTGGGAAAGTGATAAAACTTGCTTTGTTGGTTTGCCAGGATTTTGAGAGTAATGGCTTTTGTGGCATACTTAGGAAGTTTTTACCAGGCATCAACCATTTCAGCAAAAATTAAAATATTTGGTTAGCTTTGGATAGTGTCTACATGGCGCAAGTCAAGCATCATTATTGTGATGGGCAATTATATTGGAAGATCATTGATTTCAGGGGAGTATCTCTAGGATGGTACTGCCTTGGGAGTACCAAAGTCGCTTCTGAGAGTTCAGGTCTAATTCAGTTTAAGTGGAGCAAACAACTTGGGTGATTGCTTATGTATATCTTGCCTTTCCTACTTTAGCACTTGTAGCCTACCGGGATGGGTCATGAAGTTGCTTTCTACTCGGTTCAAGTGTAAGCATAGTTCTGAACAAATCTAGAATTCTGTGCTAATATCATCTGTCTGACTGCCTTTGTGGATCCACCCCGGCAGTGGGTAAATTCAGAAGTTGACTTCGTTCTGAAAAAATCAGATGTCATTTGTAGTAATACAGTGGCAACTTGAATCTATTCAACAGCTGCTTGTTTCAGAACAGTGTTTAGTTCTTCTATTGATCTAATTCTTTCTCGTGAATATGACCTCAAGAGATGACCTGCTCTGATAAGATATGCTGGTTTTACATGCTAACAATGGATAGTTAGATAAAAATAAAACTAGGAAACATTTTAGCCCCAAGGTGATCACCTGTTCCAGTAAAACTTAGGCTGTCTTCAGCAGTGAAGTGTTGTTAGTCCTGGAAATGAGCAAACCTCAGATCAGTCTTCTTTTTTTTTTTTTTTCTTTTTTTCTGCTGTGGTTGTTCACTACAAACTCTGCTTGGCTCTCTTGCCAGCTGCATGTTTTCAATTATTTCTGCTGTTACTTGTTAACTTGCTCTTGCCAGTATATAGCACCAGTTTTACTGCCCTTCTCTCAACAATATATTTGTATTTCAGGGAGTTGATTCACTTGCTTATTCACCTTTCTGAAGCTCTGCGTGAAGCACAACTTAAACTCATACTGGTCATCCCTCCTGCAGTTGCAGCAGGGTGAGTATTCCTGTTTAGATGGCAGGTTCCAGATGAGAAATACTTTTTTGTCTGATATACAATAAATTCAAAGTTTTTTTTATATCTGTGCAGCTTAAATGAACAAGAAATTATTTGAGTTTGACTGGTAGTCCTGTGTTTGTGCATGTTGCACTGAGTAGTCTTAGTAACTATGTGCATTCATATATATCTTATAACTTTTGATGTCAAAAAGACTTGCAGAGAGTCCTTCTATTGTGGTGTTAACCCAAAATGTCTGGCAAGAACTTCCCGGAGAACAAGAGCAGAAACAGTTGTGAAGCTGTAACGACTTATTGCCAAGGAGTGAAAAGAGCGTCATAAAGCTAGCATGTAAAAGAGCTTTCTGAGCCTCTGGGCACAATTTCAGCGATGATAGATAGCAGTTATTCTTTAAGTAAGAAAAACAGAGCTACAGGAAGGAATTTTATCTATAGTAAGGCTATGGGTTTTAAAAATTATTTTGACTTGATAAGTTCATATGTACAGAAAATGCATTTAGTAGAAGGATAATAGTTAGAAATGTTAATGATTCTGTTTATACATGCAATGATTTGAATTTGACAGATGTACCAGTTGGTATGCTCTTCTGGCTCAACAGCAGTAAGCAGTTCTTATCTTTAAAGTTTTTATAGCAGAGAGATATTTGCATCCTAAGATTGTATTTGCTGAAAAAATGAAACCCATGTGGAAAATGAGAATGTACTTTTATTACATGTGGAAGGAATTTGAGTACTCTTTATGTTTTTACATTTTTAGGAAAAGATTCTACATTGTATTCAATTGATACATAGTAAAACTGAAAAATCAGTTTTACTGTCTCTCTAGTCTTTTTCTGGAAAGAAATTAGCACTCTAGTATTTTGGTATTTCAGGCAGATTGTGTCTAGTCCTTATTGGCCTTGTATGATCAATCAGTGATTACATCCATGTGAGAGTGAGCAGCTAGAACTGAAGACAATGATGCAAGGTGATTCTGAATACCAGCAGTGATGCGACTTCATTATTGTTGTTTCAAATTGAAATGTGGGCTATGCCAATGCTATGCAGCTTTATTAGAAGAGTTTTGCCAGTATTCATCTCCCATTTGGTAAAATTCATTCACATTAGGATGCCCTTCCAGGTCAAAAGATGCATGGTATCCTTGCATCGTGAGCATAGCTATCTGTTGTGCTTCCTTGTGGAAGAGTGTTTACAGTGTAGAATAGTGCTACAAGGATATACAAGGAATACATCATGCCTTTCAGAGAATTGTGGTAATAAAGGGTTCTTATCCGTAAAAATACCAGGTTCCGAATGTCTGTATTTCAACTCTCCCCTTCCCTTGCTTCTCAAAGGTAATTAGTGTCCGTGTTACACTGTGGGTAAGCCAGATGTTTAAGTTACATATGTGTCATAGGTGATGGCCTTTTAGTGTCAGAGTGAGGAGCTCCAAATCTCTATTAGTTGTTTTTAAGAGATTTGGTGCGGGCTTTTTCAATATGAGACAGAAGGATAATGAAGCATAACCTGTTGTAGAGGATTACACACACAAAACAGTCTTCATAAAGTCTTGTTGAAGTCTTGTGGAGGTGAGCTGGGAGCTTCTGAGCTAGTAGGAGCCAACAAGGAAACACTCAAAAGGAAAAAAGGGGTGTTCCACTATGAAGGTGACAACAGCCGACAATCCAGATGAAATGCCTCTACACGAAAGCACACAGCGTGGGAAACAAACAAGAGGAGCTGGAAGCTACCATGCTGCTAGAAAGCTATGACCTGATTGCCCTTGCTGAAACTTGGTGGGACGAATCACGAGCCAGCAGTGTGCCCTTGTTGCTAAGAAGGCCAGTGGGATCCTGGCATGCATCAATACAAGTGTGGCCAGCAGGTCGAGGGAGGTTCTTCTCCCCCTCTACTCTGCCCTGGTGAGGCCCCATCTGGAGTACTGTGTCCAGTTCTGGGCTCCCCAGTTCAAGAAAGATGAAGAGCTACTGGAGAGAGTCCAGCGAAGGGCTACGAGGATGATGAGAGGTCTGGAGCTTTTCTACTACGAGGAAGGGCTGAGGGACCTGGGGTTGTTTAGCCTGAAGAAGAGAAGGCTGCGAGGGGACCTTATAAATGCCTATAAATATCTGAAGGGTGGGTGTCAGGAGGATGGGGCCAGACTCTTTTCAGTGGTGCCCAGCCACAGGACAAGGGGCAATGGGCACAAACTGAATCACAGGAAGTTCCGTCTG